CACAGTTCCATTTCCATTTTTTCCAGGTCCCCAGGCAGCAAAGCAGCCCCAGACCATCACACTACCACCGCCATATTTTACTGTTGGTACAATGTTTCTTTCCTGAAATGCTGTGTTTGTTTCACGTCACATGTGACAGGACTCAAACCTTCCAAAAGGTTCTGCTTTAGTCTCATCAGTCCACAGAATAAATTCCCAGAATATCTTATGTTTTGGGGATCATTAAGCTGTTTTTTGGCAAATGTGAGACAAGCCTTTGTGTACTTTTTGGTCAGCAATTGTTTTCTCCTTGAACTCTCCCATGGGTGGCATTTTTTCACAGTCTCTTTATTCTTCTCTTCTTCTTATTGTTGAATAATGAACTCTGACCTTAACTGAGGCAAGGGAGGCCTGCAGTTCTTTGGGTGTTGTTCTGGGGTTTTTTGTGACCTCTTGGATGAGTCATCGCTGCACTTTTGGGGTAATTTTGGTCAGCCGACCACTCTTGGGAAGGTTCACCACTGTTCCATGTTTTTGCCATTTGTCGATAATGTTTCTCATTGTAGTTTGCTGGAGTCCCAAAACTTTAGAAATTAGTTTGTGAAATTATGTTGTGACGCAGATATGGATGACGGAGAACATTCATCCAGGGTATATGATAGTTTAAAATACATTTTTGACAAGAGATTGTGTCTTGATTAGCTACAACAGATGTGCAGCATAGGTGAACCTGAAATATCTAAGCTGTCAGAATTGTTCATCCAACCTGGATGGCCTGTGCAGACCCAAGTTTACATGACAAAATGGTAAGTATAATACATAAAATCTCCTTCTGTTTGTTTCTTTATCTGCAAACTCCTCTGCTTAACACCATAGGTTAAGCAACCAAACCTCACCTGGCTAAAATGACCCATTTTTAAAAAACATTTATACACCTGTAAATTGTTACAGATGCATCAAATCATTTTTATTTTGCAACAGTGACATCGAATTTATAGCCACAAAAGCTGAATTGATATGATGATGCATTATGATGCGATCACATTGCCTCCCAACATTCTAGCAACAGGCTAAAATTATTTTTGACCTTTTTGCACCCATCACATCTTATAAGAGCATTCTAGTTTTAAAATACCTGGTTGCTTCTCATTTATGGTGATAAAAGTTTAATTATAACTGCCTAGCAACCACCAAGCAACATGTTAAAGCGACCAAATATTAGCACATAAATAACACCTACCACACATTTCCCCCCTCCAGGGTGATCAAGAAACACACAAATAGGCCAAACAATACTGTAGCATGGACATGTGGTAGTTAAATAAATAAAACTGGTTTCCTAGTAGCAGCTATCTGTTTTCTAGATCTCTGTGTATTAAAGGAAATGTGGGGGATTTGTTTTTTGTTTTTTTAATGATCAATCATTTAAGTATATGATTCATGAATACCTGTGCCCCTGCTTTTAATTGTTCCTTACTTAAAGTTCGCCTCAATGGCCTTAAAAACACCCCTTAAGGACTTTGATTTTGTGATTTATACAATTTAATGCAATTTCATGACATAAAACAGACTGGCAATCTGCGAGACAGTGGGCTGTGAGATTAACGTAATACTGAAATTCACTGATTGTAAAGTAAACCAATCTTTCATGAATTTGATCAGTTTTCAGAAGCAAGCAGAGGGGGTGGTTGCATGAATGAGCACTTTGTGTTCCAAGGACAACGTGACAAATTCTGAATGTCTTACCGGACAAAGGAACACAGTCAACGGTGTAATCACTGGAACAACATCTCTGTCTCCAGGGCAATGCTTTCACAAGAAGTGCAGCGAGTGTGTGCTGTTCTACTGCAGCACCTCAATTAGCTGAAAAGCAATGATAAAAGACTGAGACAAGCGGGAACAAGGAAAATAAACACTTTACAAGAACTCTGGGGATTGAAGTTATACTTAATTTACAGAGTGGCCACTTTCAATCTAGTTGTGAAACTGAAGTACAACTGCTGCTGTTTTGTAAAGGTTAGACTCTTTTTCATGATGACTTTATGTTGCTAGATAGTTGTACTATTGTTGACATTTTTCTGCTTGGTCCAAGCCTTTTGTAACACTGACTAATAAACTAACACACTCATGCGATACTTAGTATCCCTGCCTTTTGCATGTATAGCACAGAGTTTTCAGTTCTTATTAGCTGACAGAGTCAATGATAACTGCAAAGGAAATAACGTAGCATACAGTTTCCTGTATTATCTGATTAAACTTAATGTTCTTGAACATCACAGTTCTCAATATCTTTGACTGGCTGTAAGTAACCACCAGAAATTATGCCGATGTAGCTACTTTGTTTCTTTGTAAGTGGAACAAGAGACTAATGTTCAGCACTCTTAAAGGGCAGGAGTACTAACTGAGACACGACGAAGCACAAAAAGCACAGGTACTGTACTTCTTCTTCTCTTAGATATTAATGAAGTATATGTTTTATGTCCTTGAATACTGTGTTTTACTTTGTTACTGTATTCCTCCTTCCCTCAGGTAAGCAGTAAATTCACACTCTATGTATGACTCCTGTATGGGCAAAAAGGTTGTTGTTGTAGGGTAATTTAAATACTTAAGATCCCTGAGCTCCAGTTCAGCTATAAAATGATGATATCCCAATAATTGCATATTTCTTCTTGAAACACCATTGCTTTTAAATAAATGAGTTTCTAACTTGGCCTATTATCTTGTAACAATGTAATGTTTGGCAAAATGAGCTATTAGTTGCAATAATCTTATAGTGTTACTTTTTATGTTACTGACATGTCTCATAATCCGGATTTCTGCTTTAAACTGTAAACAATTTGCATTATAATACTTAATCTCCTTAACCAAACTCCCACTGCTTTTTCAGAGTACATTCAGCAGGACAATGCAAGCGATTTTTATTGTACTGCATTTATTGTAATGTTTCCCCAAGCTGATTACAAGCTTTGTCGTATTCCAATTTCTTCCTCGTGCGTGTAACAAAGTAGAAATCCACCAGTACGCTACGTTTGGGGTTATGAATGTAACCTTTGTTTTCTTTCTTTCTGAGAGACGGAGCATTGCATTTCATCTTCATTAAAGAAAACATAAACAGAACGTTATCATTACTTTCTCATTTAATTTTCTCTTTAGTTTATAAAAATGTGTCAAAATGTATTAAAACACAATACTTTTCTCAGGAATCATACAAAGCCACAGCAGAAATTGTATATACAGGCATCTGTCTTCACCCCTATCAAGACTTCAATTGTTTCTGGTGTTGCTCTCAACAGTTACTGTTTAATCAGCTGGAGAAACACCAAAGCTACTTTGAACTTTGCAGGTGTTATGAAGGTCAGTAATGGGTTGAAAGCCAGTTCTGATCAGTTCTGATTGAAATTAATTGAGCAAGAGCGCCTAAAAATGTTGCATGTCAAAACTTTTGAATCACAATAAGAGTTTAAGAGTAAAGCAAGTTGTGCAACTTGCAACATTAAGTTGGAAAGGAGGTTTGGAAACTTTCTGTGTACCCCAGAGTTTCAGCAATACAAACTCAGCTTTTGCCCTATTCTTTCACAACCTGATGTCTTTGACAGATTATACATTGATCCCAGACCAATCGACTTACCATCACTGGGTTGTCTGAACCCAACATTAAATTAGGTTATGGTTAGGGGTCCTTTGGCCTTTAAAAAAAACACATCATTTAAAACAATGAGCTGGATTGTTTTAGATTGTGGTGAGACAATAAACCAAACTGGGAAATACAGCTTAAGTAACAAGACCCATGCATTTAAAGTTCAAATATACTTTGCTCAGACAGGATACTACATCTCAGAAAAACATAACATTGGTAGCTGTTTTGTCTTTCACCCCAAAAACTAATCTAAAAATAATGCTGCCCAGTGATCCTGTTACAAACTAATGTGTGGAATGTAGAGGAGGAGGAATGCATGCCTATTTTGTGTGTGCATCATCACAAAAGCACTTTGTCTGTCCTGTGACAAAACTTTAGGTTACCTGTATATTTTTTTCCTGTTGTTTTGAACAGGTAAGTAAGTTAAGGTAGAGGTTAGGTAAGTTAGGGACAGCTAGTTATGTTGGGAATAGGTTTAGGTAGGATTAGGTTGATTGGATGGTTAAAATTAAGCATTGCATAAAAGGGTTAAGTTTCTGGTTGGAGTTAAGCAAAACAAAATTGGGGGACAGACTGCTACAAAAATGTTCTGTTGATTCATGATGAATATTTTGAGATTTCGCCATTCACAGAGAGGTCCATAACAAATCAGGCTGTGTATTACGCCATTCTTCTGATGAATTACTGTGTATATTTTGCACCATGATGTCCTGGAGATTCATTGGACTCCTTTTTGGAGGGTATAAAAAATTAAGTCCACCAAACGTTCGTAATTGATTTTAGTATGAAGGCTTAGCTTGAGGTTTGGATAAGGTTTGGATTAAGTTGAACGTTAAGACAGGACTCCAGGAAACAATCATAAATCAAAGTAATGTCCTCTAAAGTGATGAAAACACGAGTTTGTGTGTGTGTTCGTGTGTGTGGGGGTGTCCCTCGCGCCCCACCTCCCTGTCCTCCATCCAATCAGAGCACAGAACGGCCACTCGGGCCTCGCGACCATGGAGCGGCAGCAGCAGCAGCAGCGGGGAGCGGAGTGAGGAGACAGTGGGGGAGGGTCACGTGTGTACACACTGTAGAGCTCAGCAGCACTCCAGCAGTAGTAATGCCTGTAACGGTCGGCCCCCTTTCAGATCCAGCCTCGTCCGAAAAGTTGATAGATGCGAAGCGAAACAACTGAAATCCACTAAAACGTGTTTTTTCCCCTCCCGCTGTTTTACTTTTCACGAGCGCAAGTCTTTTTTTTTCCATACTCAAATGAAACGACTGAGAAATGCCAGTGGAAATGCTACATCAAAACCCAATGCCTCCCTAGGGTTGTCACCGATCCAAGCCTATACGTTTGTGGTGAGTTCTCTTCTCGTTTCCATTGTTTCATCTCGACAAATGCGAAAGGTATCGGTCTCTGGCTTTCACCTGAAAGTGGGAAGAAGTGAATTTGCACCGCTGGGGATGACTAGATGCGAGAGTGAGTAGTCGCGGTTGTGCCAACAAAGAAAGGGGGTGGAATAAATAATGGTAAAGTCGTGACAGCTATCCTCGCTTTCATCTGCCTGGTCAAGTGTAATGACACGGCGTGAAGAAAAATAAATAAACCCCCCCTCCAACTCCATTAGCTGATGTTTTCTTAGCTTTGTTCAGCTCCAGAAGTTTCACAATTTCAGCGACGGGCTTGTATTTGGAAAACAACACCTGACGAGGAGGTTTCTCACGGGATCAGCTTTCTGAGGTGCAGGGGAGAAAAAAGTTGTATCATTTTGATCAAAAAGCCTCTCAGGTAATCTGCTCTTTATATGAATAATCATTTCCAATCTGTTGTTGATACCTTATGTTGGGAGCTAAAACTAGTGGCTCTGTTAACTGTGAGGAATATGTATGTTATGACAAGCTGCAACATGAGCACAGCTTTGTTACCTAGGTCTGAATGCGCTCCCTTATATCCATGCCTACACATATAGAGTCTTGTAGTGCTAAACCATTAAGATACACACAAAAAATAGTCTTAATCTTAATTTTAATGAGGTGTTACACCCAACTTTGGGTTTGTTTTGACAGATCGTGTGTCTTTGCTTTACCTACTTCAGTCCTTTTTTTACTTCATCATTGCTTTTAGCAGATGCAGGAAGGTTATTACTGGTAATTACTATATTTTATCATTCATTTTGAAATGGGTGCCACTTCATTGCGAAGTAGCTCTAGCCACTAGTCAGTAGTGCTTGTCCCCCAAATGAAATGCTTCTTAAGACTCGGTCTTTGCACTTGTTGTCATCAACTTCATCCATGTGACCGGAGGGCAACTGGGCGTGTGTGGCTGTGGCTTAATGACAGTAAGCCTGCTTTGTGCTGACCATTGAACTCTTGACTTTGTTGAAGCCGTTGACAGTTCAGCAAGTTGCCGGAAAAGAAGCCGGGAAGTCTGCAGAGACTCAGACCGACCTATGTTTGACCAGACTCTGTTACACTAGAACTCAATAAGAGGAACTACTGTTTCCTCAAAGATAATCAGGTGATGTTTGACACCCCTTGTGAAGTAGATAATCCATTAAAGCATCAGTGATGCGCTCATTAATCAAGGGAGCAGATCTCTATCGTTTGCAGGAAAATGTGCAGTTTAAAAGCTTTCAGACTCAAGCTATTTTGCCTCCACTGTACAAAAACTGATAACAATTTGTACAATTTGTGCATAGAACCTTTCTCCAGGGCTTGAATTGGAATGCAATAAGTTACTTTGTAGATTTGTGGGTTATTAAAGAAACTTATGTGCTGTATTGTGTCACCTGTCACGTCTGATGTTGCTGCATAGCATCAATATCTGAGGCGAGTCTACTGGGGTGATGGCCCCCCTCAGAGTGTGGGTTATTTTGAATATAAAGATTGTACTTAATGTACCATTTTATATCAACGCTGTAGTTATACAATACATACATAACAATAAACCAATGCCCACATTAATAAATCAGCAGTTATGATTCAATAATATCGTATATATGATGATAAGAATAACGCTTGCTTTAATTTTAGATACTTGAAGCATATTTTTTATATATTTTTAACAGTCTAAATACTTGGAAAACAAATAGTCCATGCAAAAACAATCTTCAGTGATGTCCAATATATTCAAAGCCAATTTTCTAAACTGTTTATTTCTAATCAAATATTATGATTTCCGTCCCGTGGACAGCCGTTTGAAAAAGCCCCGGAAACACCCCTGCACAAAAACGTGCAAAAACGAGTGGCGTAATCTTATTTTCTGGCTGTAGTACATCCTGCTGCTGCTGTGTTGCTGTAGACATGGCTACAGAATCATGTGACATCACTCGCAGCTTTCTGAGAAGGGCCTGTAAATTCCAGTAAGGATATACGAGGGGTGTGCGCCCAGTATGTCACACTGCTCCCATCAGGCGGTGATATCTGGCTTCAGAACGCTGAGATGTCAAGCACGTGGGCGTCACTGTTACACGATCGTGTTTGGTGGGGCCGAAGCAGGGCTGCCCCCTCTGGGGATAATAAACTTAACCACTTTTGACATGGCGTAGTGCAAAAAGTTCAGACAAGGTTTAACCAAGTATACAACTGCAGTCAAAGTCACGTTCAAGAGTTTTCAGCTTAGGCTATAGAGCTCTCTCCTGGTTTGCATGCTTGTAGCAGTAGATGTAAATGAATGAATAGTTATATCTCCTGTTAGCACAGCTTATAATTAATGTAGCATAAAAGAAGGGAACCGTGATGGGCATGTTCTCTAAGGAACGGTCCTTGAAAGACTTTATTCAACAACCGTATGAAAGGAAAATAAAGTGACAAGTTGCCATTCTCCTTGGAAATTAATAAAAGATAATATGCATACTTCAATGACTGCATGAGCTTAGCCCTGACCACAACTGCTCTGACAGCGCTCGTGCTGTAATAACAGCTGGGTGTAGTGTCTCTCTCTGACCTTCACTCAACCCCAACAACGTCACCTCCAGCTGTAGCCTTGACAGGCTCCAAAATGGGCTAGAAAATGAAATGGCCCTCATTACGCTGAATCAAAACAGACGTGGATCATGCAGCATGAAGCTGTTCTGCCTCCGAGTCAGGGGTGGACGTTTTCTTACACCCCGCTTGTTTTTCCCTCAGCTGAGTAGAAAACTAGTGATTTCATTATCGTGGGCTGCTGGCAAAACGCGCAGAGCTAAAGTGCACTGACTTTCACGACATGAGCGGTTGTTGCCTAGAGTGAATGAATGCTTATGGTAAACAGCGAGCAGTCCAAAAGGATTATTGTCTTTTGGTCATATTTTTTAATGCATAATATTGTCTGAGAAAATCAGCGATGGTTGTTTTACTATGCATTTTCAGTGCGATCCCTCTAAAGCTTTGTTTATGGTCACAGCATTGGTTTTTGTGCACTCCACAAGTCTCCACAGCCTCACAACTATTTGACACCGGCATTTGAGGTGTGCAGTCGTCTTCTGCATACCAGGTGTCAGAGCTCAGAAAAAACAAACAAACCTCAGCATCAATGCTGGAAAAAGTCAAAACAGGAAGCAAAGGAGTCACAGAGTTTTCTCCGGAAAGTCTCATTTTTTTTCCAAGCTGTTGCAGTGTCTCTCTGTGTATATCGTCTGTGACTTTCTGCACTGATACATCACTGAAATGGCGGTTAAGACCAACACGATCGTGAAATCGTGTCTCCAACATGGTCACGCCAATCGCACCACAGTGGCAAAAAGGCTGTTACTGTTGTCATTCACGAAGGCGATAACAGCAAGCATGAACGCCTCCGTTATTTTTTCTCTCGCATGACGTGCAGCCTTTTTCCTACTGTTCAAAAAGAATAGAAGCAGAGAGAAAATGCGACCCGTAAATGGAGAAAAATATCATTACGTCAGCATTGCTTCCTCTCGCAGTGCAATTATCGATACGCCGCTGTCAGATATCGATATTTTAATCAAACATGCAGATTCTGTAAGTGGATTTCCACAACAACAGCAGACAGCTCCTATTAACTCTGCTTTGGAGGGTTACAACAATACGGCTCCGATTCCCTACGGAGATTATTAATGGGGCTTTTTCTTCTGGAGTTGTTGAGCACCACTGCATCCTGAGCGACTTTGTGATTCCCACCATCTATGTGTCCGCAACAGAAAAGCACGACTGTGTCCTCATGGGAGGAGTGCTGTCCAGAAGGTCACTAAATTTGTTCCTGAAAAGCAAACTAAGATCTGTTTTTGGCCCGATGAGCACTCCTTTGGATGGGAAGAGTGTCCGGGGAATAAACTGAGATGCATATCAGGGATTTTCCTGAGGGTTTTTGGCATCCCACAGATGGTTTTAAGGGAAATGGAAAGAAAACTCACCAGCAGTGTTACAGAATTATACTTTTAACCTGTTTTCTTAACTTGGGATTCACGTTCTCAAGCATAATAGACTTTTTTTTAATAAGATATTCATAAATATAAGGTAATTAGATAGAAATAAATTAGAAACCTACACAAAGTGCAAATGTCAGAGTCATACATACGAGAGAGAACAGTTGCCCTCTTTTTTTAACAACTCCTGCAGCTATCAGAAGCTGTAGAGTGAGCCAATGTGTTAATGACAGGGAGTTGTATATAGAAACGTCTGTATACAGCAGGTGCTAATTAATGAGGACTGCCAGCCACATCGCAGTGAGTCCTCTTTAATAATCACAAACTTCCCCTTAGGTCATTTTCTCTGTAAGTGATGAAAGGTTGTGGGAGGAAGCAAAGGGTGAATAAGCTTACTGTACTTCTTAGGATAAGGAAGCATTGTGGTGGTGGTGGTGAGGGGGGTTTAGCACGAATCGATGAAAAGAGGAGCACTGGTTATAGTGTGCTTTTTTTTTTCAAGGTCTGCTTTCGTCAATGAGTCACCAAGCTGCTGGTGTTTGAGAGCAGTGTTTACAAGTGGGCCGACCAGTGCTCCCGACTCGGTGAAGATTGCCCTCCTCCCGATCCGCTTCTTGTCCGTCTCTGTGCTCCAGCCCCGTTGCAGCCAATTGGAGCAGCACAGAGGAGAGACTGAGTGTATCTGTGTGTGTGTGAGAGGCTTAAGGCCAAAACAGCCTCTCTGTAGTGGTGTTACGTAAGCACACAGAAGAATGTTTCTCCTTTACTGGCATCGTTATTCATTCCCTGAAAACAAAACTGCCTTCCTACACTTTGTTTCAGGGTGTTTTCGGGGAAAAAATCTCCAGAGAATTCTGCACAGATTAGCGGGGGTACTGTTTCCACGTAAAAATGTTATCGTCCCTTCCCAAAAGCAGTTTTGCATGTGGAAACATATCTGTCAATTTAGTTCTGAGGAAAGGAAATATTGTGGGATCTGAGTTACTTACTTTCGCTTATAATAATAATCTTCCTAAGAATGACCCCAGTTAATTATGTAAGGAAACATCTAAATCATCCAGCCCCATCAGCTTCACTCCTAAATGTTCCTGACGTCTACGCTGTCTCCCCCTTTCCTTTGTTTTTTGACCTTGTCCTGAACTCCAACCTACACCTCGTCCTTCGCTGACCCTTCACCAAAGCCTGCTTCACATTTCGCTCTTTATAAATCTACCCATCGCCGCCTGCCCAGCCCCCAGGCAGCTTGGCAGTAACTTTGAACGGAAGATAAATGCTTTTGACTGGGCACCAAAGCTGTCTGTGAAATGTTCTTCTTCATCACGCTGCGTGTGAATGAAAAATATAAGGGCAGCTCTGCACAGTCAGCGGCGCTCTTGCATGCAACTGTAGGAGGGAGAACGAGGAGGCCGAGGCAGAGCGAGGGAGAGACGCCAAGGTGTCAAACAAATGCAGTTTTGTATTCTTCCACCAGAACAAAGGCCTCATTTGCTCTGGCCAGTGAGGAGAAATGGTGGGTTTTTGAGGCTGAGCTAGCAAATCAAACATATTGTGAGGCGTTTGTATTCAGTCAGTCAGATGCAGTGAAGTGAAATTAACAGTGTTACCCGTGGCATAATAGGCGAGACGTGGTGGACGTGTTTTTGTGTCGTGGCCTTGCTTAAAAAACAAATCGTTTTCATAAGATCAAGCAGAATAAACTCAGAGACCTTTTCATAAAAGCCATAAATATGACATAAAATAGAGATAGTTTTGGGTGATCTATGCTGTACACGCATAGATGACAAATTAAAGGAAAAGCCTGAACTCAGTGGCTCCCTTAAGCTGTTGAGCGTATTTCGTTGTGCACATTGTTTCGGTGCACTTGTTCCCTAAAGCCCAGTCCGCACATAAAGGGATTTACCTCTGACGGTTGCCTAGGTAATCCACTAATGTATTTAGTCATATGTCAACAGCTGTATCCTTTACTTCCACTGATTGTTGCTTCAGTCTCTCACCTAAAGGTGAGGTACATTTACCTCAATATTCGCCCCCTTTGTGTCACTAGTGGTTATTTTTCCCTGCCGTTACCACAAGTTGCTGAATTCATTGACATGTTATGGTCACTGCTAGGCCCTTCCTATGTCTGTGCCTGGAAATCCCTTTGCAAGACAAAATACAGTGACTGTTTTTATCCTATAATGAAACATTTCTGTCACAATGGTCGTCATCAAAGCCCCTCTAAAAGAAAGTCTGGCGACTTGACTGTTATTTCGACTCATGTCTGGGTTGTTATTTTAAAGCCCTTATCTAAATGAATGGGGAAAAGAGAATGACTGTCACTTTAACATAAAAATTAAATTTTTATAATCAACAGTCAGATTCCAGGAAGAAAAGGTTTTAAAAGCTTCTTCCTCTTGAAAGCTGTATGCATCACGAGTGAGAAGGAGCTACTGTTCTTCTTCTACTGTAACCCTTCTACTCCAACAGGATTGGCTAATATGTTTCCTGTTTAAGCTGTTAATTGGCTCACCACTCATGCCCTCAATGGTGGCCACCATCATTAGCATTTCAGAGGTCCTTCACTGTTCCCTGTGTGTCACTAGAGTCGTCTTTTTTCAGGATTACGATGTCCTGATTCAAAGGGCACAAGAAGCCACTTAATGATTTGCTCTGTTTGATAATGACGGAGAGTTCAAATAGCAAACGTGCTATTCAGCTTTCTCTGGTAACCGTTCGATTGTTATTCGAAGCTCGCATTCAGTCCTAAACCGCTCTCTGATGACTCTGCATAGTTGTGGTACATTTATGGCACGCTTTATCTTTATCTGTTCTAATTTGCACTGCACCGTGTTTGGATTTATTATTCAAAGGAATTCCAAACATTACTCTTTAACGGTTATTAACCTCAGACTTTGCGCGTTTGTCCTGTTTGTACAGTGGCAGTTGGCAAAAGGCGTGTAGGTGCATTACCTCCAGCTTCTGACAGTGGAAGCACGTGACGAGGGAAATTCATATATGTTGAACAAACACAAAGAAAACAAAAGACACACAAACTTTAGGATGTTGTGAACTTTATGGTTTTTGAGAAGAATCTAAACTAATCCTTATAGCAAAGCTTAAGAGTTTAATGAATCTCCCAGGAATTCTGTTATTTTTACCTTTATCATACACATATCTCATTAATAACATTAATGACTAATTCTTTTCTCCTTGATTCTGTCCACAGTCGACCTGTTGAGAGTGCTTGATCCGTGTCAGAGCCCAGCGATGTGGATCTGCATGGTTTACAATGAGACGGACACCAGCGTGGACTTCCGGCTCTGCCGGGACTTTGGCCTCATCCTGTCAATCCTCTCCCTCATCTACCTCCTGGTGTGTTTCCCACTGGGCCTGTGCTACAATGTGCTGCTGGTCGTGGTCAACCTCTCAAACAAGGTGTCCATGACCATGCCTGATGTCTATTTTGTCAACATGGCCATTGCGGGTCTCGTGCTCAACCTGGTGGCGCCTGTGGAGCTGCTGAGCTCCACCTTCACCCGCTGGCACGTGTGGGACTATAACAACGAGGTTTACATCACCCTACTCATCCTCTTCAACATCTCGTCTCTGGTTATCATGTATTCCACCACGCTGCTCAGTCTGGACTACTACATAGAGCGCGCGCTGCCTCGCACGTACATGTCGAGTGTGTATAACACCAAACACGTGTGCGGGTTTATCTGGGGCGGCGCGGTGCTCACGAGCTTCTCCTCGCTGCTCTTTTATGTGTGCAACCACATCTCCACCAAGATGGTCGAATGCTCCAAAATGCAGAACAAGGAGGCAGCGGACTCGATCATGATGTTCATCGGCTACGTGGTGCCCGCCCTGGCTGTGCTTTACGCTTTTGTGCTCATTCTGCGCATCAGGAAGGAATCGACACCATTGGATCAGGACTCTGCTCGCTTGGACCCTTCCATACACAGGTTGCTGCTAGCTTCAGTCTGTGTGCAGTTCGTACTGTGGACTCCGTACTACATGACTCTTTTAGTACATACTGTAGTTGTTGCACCGGGATACATTAGCAGTGCACGTTACTTACCTACCTATTATTTCTTGAGGTGCGTATCTAAACTGTTGGCGTTCTCCAGCAGCTTTGCAATGCCTCTTATGTACAGGCAGATGAACAAAAACTTCTCCAACAAGCTCCAGCGGCTGCTCAGGAGGCTGCATTGCAGAGACCAGTCCTGCCCTCGTGAACGCTCAACAGTGCAGCAAGTGGTGACGTGAGATCCCCCGCCCCCCTTGCTTGCATTTTCCACTTCTCGGCCTAGCCAGCACTTATCTCCCCTCTATAGCACCAGTATCTGACAGGGATCTCTCACAACCCCGGACTGTTTTGAGAGCGACGTAGCTAACTCTGGAATTTCCCGTCACCTTCCCGGATTTTAATCTGTTCTATCTAGGTCTGCAATGATGGGACAATGCAAACAAAAACCACTAAGTGCTGGTTTTTTTTTTTGTTTTTGTTTGTTTATTTTTAATACATTTCTCCACCAAGAAACTCAGGCTTCTAGTTCAAGGGTAGTAAATTGGGAACAATCATCCAATAACTACCGAGGACAGAGTTTCACAACAAAAAAATCCAGTTTTTCCGCGTCCTCCTTTGGGAGTGGGTGTGGTTTTTGTGCCTACATTTCACCTCTAACACACAAGCAGATCCAATAAGCTATAAAAGTTTAATTATCAAATGCAGCCAAGTTACTTAGTTTTTTAACAGAACCCTCTCCACCCCTGCAATGATGGTGGCTGGTATACCCATAAGCAACCACCACTAATGAACGGTGTGCGTGCCAGTGGAAATCAGTGTTTACCGCCCTCAAACTATAAGCCTCGGCCACTTCTTTTTTTTATTTAAACTCATTTTTCCTTCTGCTTTAATTTGTTTTGATTATCAGATTAAATAATCTTCACATGTTGAAGATGGAGTACAATATTAAGCGTGTCTTGGATGCACACCAATACTACCCTGTGGCTAGAACTAAGTACTCATATTAAGATATGTTCCCATTTTAATTTCAAAGATTGTATTCTGAAGTTTTGATCCACTCAAACATACAAAGAGATTTTTTTTACGTCTGTCAAGCTCCACTATATATATACAGACACACACACACACACACACACACACACATCTACACCACTTTGAAATCACACAGAACTAAATGGAACACTCACTTAAAGCTTGTATTCAGGGTTCAGACATAACCGGTATACCTCGTGTGATCTCTGCTGATTATAACACAGGGTCACAGAGAGAGCCCTGAGGGGTTGTCATGCACAGGCCACAAGACTCATGACTGGCTGTGAGGTTTTTGCACACTAACAGTATCAAAAACCTTCTTAAACATATGAAAAGCCCACTTGATGAGCACCTGGAAGCAGTGTGTACGATACAGAAGAGTTTGAACTTTAATGCTGCTCACATGCACATTATTATCAAAGCTGCTTTGCTTCCTTGCCTGCCATGGTGAACGGTGAACAGAACAATCTGTTGGCGATGAATCCCAGCCATCAGAACTAAAAACACGTTCTAGCATTCGGTCTGCTGCTTCACTGCATTCGTTTGCATATTGAATTAAAGGGCCAGTTTGTTAATCAGCCTGTGAAATGATACACCAGCAAGGTGGGGCGTCCACTCAAAGTTAAATGGAGACGGGCGCGCTCTGATATGAATCGTATGTTTGTATTCAGTTTTAATTTACACCTTCAAGCACGCATTAACTCTGTTAATGACCCAAAGCTGAGCTGAAATGTTTGAAGTATTTGGGTGAGTGCGCTTTTGCTGTAAAATGTGAAGGAATGCCAGATGTACTAACAGGTTTGACCCTTTTTTTCTGTCAAGATTATAACAAAGTCACATACACACTCTCTCTATTTTTCCAAGCATTTCATGCGCCTCCATCGTTACATGCATATGGATTCGGTCAGTGGGAAATAGTATTCAACTAAAACGCTTAATGTGCTGCCCCACAAAATCCTTGAATGGATTGTTTTTGGCACAGTTAATCATTATTTGCTCTCAGTTCAGTGTCCTAATGTGAACTGAGCATTTAGAAATGAAGAGCAAACACTGGACTGAATTTCTAAAAGTCCTTTTTTTTTGTTAAACGTAGCATAGAAATGCTACGTTTTGTAATTATAAGTTCATTCCTCTGAAAAACGTACTTAAATTGAACTTATGCAGTTCATGTGATATACGATCAACTGCATGTAAGTGTTATGAAAAGATATCCAAACAGAGGGTGCTCATAATTAATCTTTTTTAGCATAAGTCCTGAAGCTTCACCAAACGACACTAAGAGAATGACAATCACGTAGAGATTCCAGTAGCTAAATAACTGCACTGTTTTGCTTCAAAACACCATCGAGTTTTTCTGAATTGCTTGAAGATGATGTGTGCATGTGCTGCCTAACTTTGCCTGATCAGTTTTCTTTAACCACTGCTGCAATTTCATCCATTAGTCTGTTTTTTTAAAAATGTTTTTTAACTATCCAACGCCAATCCCTCTGCAGAATTAATGATCAGCGGTCACTACATGGAGTGATTGCGTGATGTTCACAACTAGAAACTAAAGCGCGATCAAAGCTCGAATCACACCTAACTCAGATGGCTGCTCGTGTCTGAGAATGGTTTATTATTTCAGAGGCGGCCAAAACCTCGCGTCGGCGCAAAGAAACAGCCCTAAGAGTTCTTGTATGTTGAACGAGTACAGATACATTTTAGTTATTTGAACAACCAAACCTCAAACATCCAGATGAATCCACATTCAGATGTTATGCTTTTGTGACTGTTTATACAAGTGTATATGTATAGTACAAAATGATTTGTATATATTGTATGTGAAAGTCTTGCAGGAGGACACCGTGCTCTTTGAAAAAATACAGTATTATTTTCTGAGAGATATATTTAGATTCTGTAAGTACTCTACTGTCAGCTGAGTCAAAGACTGATTAAACAATAAACTAAAATGGATATAACCGCTCCTTCCTGTCTCAGTGAAATCTTACCATTCGTATGGTCATGTGAACAATGTTTCTGTTTGTCAGATGTTTGTATTATTTTTAAATACTGAACATGGTTGTGTTTTGAATCCATAGATCTGAGCTTACGTGGATGTTGGCTAAGTTAAAGTCATCTTGAGATGTTGGTTATTGGTGGACTGGTGGTGCATATGCATGTAAGCTGTTCATTAATGACACTAATGTCAGTAGTACCCCTGATTAGATGATGGGATGAGTGAATCAGCTCTGATGTAGGCATTTATATACTCACTGGCCACTTTATTAATTACACTTTGCTTGTACCACCACAATCTGCCTTCATTCTTGACAGTAAAGATTCAACGAGATGTTTTCGTGTTGTTTGTGTCACATTTTTAACCTACCATCTTAATGTTACAGCAAAGATAGAGGCTCGTCTTATTTTCGTGAGCCTGTGTAAAAGCCTCAGTGCACTTTTATAGCTGACCGAGACTGACACCTGGGGTTGTCTTCTCCTGTAGCCCAGCGGTCCCAAACCTTTTTTGCGCCACGGACCGGTTTATGCCCGACAATATTTTCATGGACCG